TTGTACATAGGGTCGCTATGAGTTGAAAGCGACTCGATGGCACATAACAACAACAACAACAACAACACCCTGTTGGTGGGATTGTAAAGTGGCATAACCACTCTGGAAGGCAGTTTGACGTGTTCTAAAAAGCTGAACACAGAGATGGCACCTGCCTCAGCTATACCACTGCTAGGAATATACCCCAAGGAAAACAGCGCTGAACTACAAATATCCCCCTTTTGATCTCCGTGTGTTTAGGCGCTCCAAGGAGTGCGTGCCCCTCTGCTGTTATTATTTATCTGTTCAGTTTCTGGTAATCTAGTTTCCCTTCCTCTTCTCTTCTCATCTTTGTTTCAGAGTAATTGTTAACCTGTTGACCTTATATAGATGTTTTGTTAAAGGTGCTCAGTACTCAGAAATGATATTCTTTATTTTGTGTCAGAGTCTGTGAGACTGGCTCAGGATAGAGCAGGTTTCAGAGCTGTTGTACACAGGGTTGCTATGAGTCACAGGTGTCTCGATGGTACATAATAACAACAATCTGTAACTATAATCTGTAACTACAAGGTGACCATGGGAGAGTTCTAGGTCAAGGTTAAAAAAGTAATTTGGGGCAATCACCTTGGGGAATCCTCTAGAATTGACAGGTCTAGGAAGTGTGGACTTTTAAAGAAGAAAAATAGATTTCTGCACCTCGGATTATAGACAATGTGTTTGGATGGTAAGAACAGTGACATGGCACCACTGCTAACTGGAAGGTTGGCGGATCAAATCCACCAGCTGCTCAATGGAAGAAAGATGGAGTCCTGTGCTTCAGTAAATAATCACAGCTTACTGGTTCAACAGAGATTAGTGGACCTCCGAGCTATGGCATCTATTTACTTTTCAGACCTAGAATAAAATGCTCCAGTGATGCAATTTTCAGTCAAACGATAGACAAGCTTATAATGTGACAATAATTCCAAGGAGGAGCTCACTCCTTAGCCTAACTAACTATGAAAGGGCAATTGAGCAACATTTGCCTAAGGACAGAAGGTTCACGAAAATGAGACCGACAGAAAATGTGGGAAGGATTTGGTAACATTTGGATGCTGTAATTAATACTATAAAACAACATGTTTATGCATGATTGAATGAACAACCAATTTGCTTTGGAAGCTTTCACTCAAATTACAATTTTAAATAAAGAAAGACAAAAGAAATCTCAATAGCGTTGGACACGCAGTGAGGTGCTTCTGTTGTTATATAGGGCGAGGATGAGTCAGAATCAATTGGGCAGCACTGGTCTTAGTTTGGGGTTTTGGATACATTCATGGTCTCCCTGTAAAGTGGCAGGAAGGAAATAGATGCCTGTATCTAGTCATCACTAACTCTGCTTTTGGCCTTGATGTTTTTTCCCATTGTTGGGACCATCAAGCCAACTATGACTCATAAGCAACAGAAACCTTGTTCTCTTGTCCTTTCCTGCCCCATCCTTACAATCTAGTGGCCATTTCCAATCCCCCTGTTGCAGTCAATGCATCAGCCCATCTCCTTGAGGGCATTCCACTCTTTCAACGGCCCTCTGCAATGACCAGCCACTGTGTGCTTAACTTTGCAAAGTTTAGCAATGAAGTCTGTGAAAGTGACTTTATGAAAAATCAGGCCAGGAAGCAAAACATACCTACGTGGAACACTGGCCGTGCCAGTTACAAATTGAGTGTCCTTGATGCATTCTTCGTGCTCATAGCCCTCAATTTCCTCGTATTATAGCCGTGGAGGATAATCCTCTGCCTATTTTGAATGGTAGTTGTGATCATTAGAGATTAATGTATGTAAAGCACCTAGCTCAGCGGCTCCTGTAATAGGAGCTCTATAAAGGGGACCAATTAGGGAGATGATAGGCGTGCATGGAGATGCAGGTATTATTAGTGCGCCGGCTCTCTCTTCACCCTTCAAGCTTTCCATGGTGGCAGAGAAGGTGAAAACAACCCATCAGCCTTTCTGTTACCCATGTGAAAACTGGACAAGGACTTAGAAGACAGAAAAAGAATTGGTACCTTTGTATTGTGGTGTTGATGACGATTACTGAATATACCATGGACTGCAGAACAGAACAGAACAGCCACGGAGGAAGCACCGGCAAAGTGTTGCTTAGAAGCAGGGATACTGAGGTTTTGTCTCACACACGTTGGGCATGTTGTCAGGGGGAGGGGCTGCTGGTCCTTAGAAAAAGTCATCGTGCTTGGGGAAGTGGAGGGTCAGCAAAAGAAGAAGGCTCTCAACGAGGTGAAGTGACACAGTGACAATGATGGGATGGATCAAGCCTAGAGTGAGTGGTGCCATGGCTCAGGACTGGGCAAGGCTTTGTTCTGGGTTCCAGAGGGGAGGAGCTAACCCAGCAGCACCTCCCAACATCAGCAAGGTGGATGCTGCAGAAGGTGGCTCAAGGCCTTGCTGTGTCCCCATGTAGATTAAAGGCCGTGGACATCAAGAAGCCCCCAGGAAACACCCTCTCAGCATTCTGGGATCAGCATGAGTGTACACACTGTGGCGATGATGCTGC